TTTCTGGAGGAGATGAGATGGGGAGAAATGACAAACCGGCATTCGGGCTTACTGTTTTCCGGAATCCTGTTGAAGGAAGAGCCTAAGTGGCTCTGTACTTGACAGATACTTGCTTACGAACAATTTATAAACTTGTGACAAAAAAGACTTAATTTGTACTTGTTTTCAGTGGGTTTGCTTTTCCCTTTCAGTGTTTTACATGCTCTACCTGCCGGAATCGCCTGGTCCCAGGAGATCGGTTTCACTACATCAATGGCAGTTTATTTTGTGAACATGATAGACCTACAGCTCTCATCAATGGCCATTTGAATTCACTTCAGAGCAATCCACTACTGCCAGACCAGAAGGTGAATACCTAGCAGCTGCTAATAAGCTTTATTAGAGCGAGTTGGAAGGTTCAACCTTCAAGGGAGTTTTCCTGGGCGGTTGTGTTTTCGTGTGCCCTTTTAAAGAAATGTAGACTACTTGTACGTACAGGGTTCAGAAATAGGAATATCGACTGATTAAATTGTGAATCTTTTGTAGTTCAAAAAAGATCCTGACTTAGTTATATGTGTAGCCTTCCCAGTGTTGAACAGAGGATTATCACATGCTAAGTCAAAGCATAAAACTTCCATATAACCGGTTGGTTTTCCCACTTGACAGTTTTGAAATTCAGAAATATGATGTGAATAGGTGATTGCAGGAGGCAAATTAGAGCATTTATGGTAGAAAAAGGGAGTAAATGTCTTTGTCATGAAAGAATGGTTTCTGCATCGGTCATAGCAATCCCGGACACCTGCCTTCCAAACCCAGTTTACCGTGCTTTTATTTTGAGAAGAGCAGTTTTACAAACATTCTGTAATTCCAGAGGGGGGCATTTTTGTTGATTGGTATATATAGTCCTATAAAATTTGAATAAGTTATGACTTTTAAGACAGAGTTCTAGGTCTTTGCTAATCACTTTGGGCCACGAATCGCTCCATTGAAGATTATGTATCTTGAGTCTCGAGCCACAACTGGAAAGTTTTTGGACCAGAGTTAAAAGTGAGGAAATTTTATACAGTTGTTCAAATCACTTCAGAGGGAAAATGGCGATCAACAGTTGTCCAGCGCCGCCCCCCCCCCGCCCTCCGCCCCAGTACTGGATAGTTTTAGATCTATTTTAATCTCCTTAATAAGTCCTATAGCTATGCAAGTGAGTGCATTTTGATAACTGCTGTGCCTAATTTGTAACAATTACTGTCAACCTTCAGTTAAGAGACTGTTCATTCCACACTGGCCCAGAAAAGAGTGAAATGTATGACTCGTGCGCATAATTTTATTCACATCATATTTCATACTGATTATGTATTGATGACATTGATTCATTTACTCTTTACAGCGCCACTTGCATGGATATTAAATCTTATTGACCACAGATGAATTTTAATTTCAGATTGGTGATAGATTTTTCCATCAGCTCTGATAGTATGTTTGACTTTTTCATCATTAACCCAGGCAATCACACAGCACTGAGTTATTGCATTGAAACAAAAAGTGCACACTTCACTTGGTAATTCTTTATGGATTTACAATAGGAACTTCATTAATGTCTGTTGTAAGGATCACAAAAAAAAAAAACAACATTTATCTGCAAATAGGAATTTAGCAAGCTTCAAAAGGCTCAGGAAAAAATATTAGACTTCTTTGTCTTCTGTAATGCATTTTCTTAATGCTGTGTGTGGGGAAAATGACTAATATTTGAAAACTTTTAACATTTAAAATTATACTGCCGTATCTTAATGCTGATTTTTATCATTTTCCCTTACTCAAATTTATGGTCTAAGTTTAAATTTATTTTCCATTTCTTTATTAAGTAAATGTCAATTATACCAAATACGCACACTTTTCTTTGTTTAATTTACTAATATGGGAAGCTACCTAGCATACCATTTTAAGAATAGAAGTCTAATTTTTTATTGCAAATGAACCAGTCACCATCGATGAGGCATTTTAAGCTTCGTTAAGGAATGCCAGTACATATAAATGCTTAAGATTTTTATTTTTTGAATTGTAATGAAGTGAATCTATAGGGCAGAGTTGAGAACAATGGATAGGTAACATAAGTATTTTGAGATAACCATTTCAATGTAGAGGCAAAGCCATTTCCAATTATACTTGGGAGCAAAAAAAAAAAAAAAGGCAACAAAAGAAATGTGCTAGGAATAAAATGGTTGATCTCTTCCCCATCCCCTCCCATGTAAAAGCGTAGTTTTTTGCAAGTTAGATCTTAAGTTTGTTGCTGGTTTTATACCATTTCTTTCCCTGACTTAACAAAGTACAAGAAATGATTGTTGCAGCTCACCACTGTGCAGCGTGAGGATTCAGGGACATGGAGACAAGATGGAAAACGTAGTCAACCATGCAGTGCTGCATACAGCCAGTAGCCACATTCGCTCGGGACTAAGTGCAAAGGGCATGTAGTGAATAGGAGCAGGGTCTCCCGGTGCTGTCTCATTGGGTACAAGATGGCGTAAGTTGAGAGGTTTCAGGGAGGAAAGCTGGAGAAGCATCTGGTTTGCATGGTTATAAGATTGCATGTATTGTGCCTTTCAGATGAGTCTTCTGTTCTGCACACTTTTTTCAGGATGGGAGAGGTAGGATGTTCGGTTTGGATCACAGAACGTAGTAGGCAACCAGAAAGAACTAGCTGGTATATACTTCCTTAATGTCGGAAGCCAAAAATAGACAGGTGGCCTTCAAAAATTAATAGCTCTTAAAAGGCAGAAGGAAGTATAACTTAAGGATATGTTCTTGTCAGACACTGGTAAGAAGCTGTGTTTTGGGGGCGATGTTAATTAAGAACATTTCCCTGTTGGCATAAATGTCTCACAGATTTGCCCTTGGTGCTCAGCTCGCCAGGAGCACAGTCAATTCACAAGGTGGTTTTTGTAAATAAAGGTTTTGGGCAAGCTGAACGTGGTCCAGAGAGATACTAATGAGAGGGCAAGGGGAAAGAGGTAATGAAAACACACTTCCTGGTGGAACATAAACTGCCTCTTGGACCTAGAGAATGCTTGACAATTATTTTCCCAAATCCCTGTGGTGTTTCCTTTCTGGAGGAGATGAGATGGGGAGAAATGACAAACCGCCCCACTTTATTATTTTCTTCTCTCTCCTCATCCTCCATATTTTTGGTAGGGAAAATTGGACATCAATTTTGGCTGTTTTCCTTTTATTCACCAAACTAATTACGTTTTTAGTGCATGGTGCATGATGCATGATAAATATAGGCCAAGCTCCTCTGGCTTAAAAGTAATGAGTTGATTATACACCCCTTCTTTAAAGGCAGCTAATTGTATAGAAAGCATAGGTCCCCATCATCTGGTCCCTTTAAACTTCTATTCTCCTGAAATTTGTTGCCAATGTCTGGGATGTGTAGTTTAGCTGTTGTTCTGCATCATTGGCCTTGGTATATCCTGAGAAAAAATAATTTTTGAGTTTATAAATCCTGTAGTGTTCTGAGTGAAATCTCAGACCACTAGTGTTCAAGGATCTACAAAATTTTATAGCCTGTATCATTTAAAGGATGCTGGGCTGTCCTCAGGAGAATACTGCCTTCTAGAGAGTTACGTAAATACAATCAGGAATTGTGGCTAATTTTTTTTTTTTCCCCCTAATTTTTGCCTGCTCTGGAATTCTTTCTTCCACTCGAGTGGCTGTTCGATCTAGAATTATCTGCGCTTTTTAGTAAAATACAAGCTCACATCTCTTTAGTTGGAGGAAAATTTAGCAAGTGTTCTAGTTTACATATCACTCCGCAGTTCCCCTGTAGTTACATAATTGGTGTTGTGTGTGTCCATCGTAGAGGACATTTGATGCTCATTTATTAAATATGCTCGCTGGCTGCCACCGCATCTTTGTTCTGGACAGACAAATTACCTTTCTCACACTGAGCTTCCACTCTGGGGAATTAAGCCTCCACCACTTTAATTAGCTTGGAAGTGGGGGGTTGCAGTTCCTAATAGACTTGAGGCTTTTTAGTAAGTTAGGGAAAGGGTGAAACGAGAACTTCCTGGGAAGCTCAAAATGTCATTTAAAAACCATGAAAACCTAATATATATTATTTCATTTTGGTAATTGCAAACAGATTGTATTTGACGACTGTGTGGATTATCATTTCTAACTTAGACATGAAAGTTAGACTTCCCTTGAACTATGTTTTTTAATTGAGCACAAGTCCTTCACATATTACATATGTTTGATTCGTATGTTTACAATAGTTTATGTAATATTAAGTGACATAGCAGATAGAAGTTACTAAGTGAAAAGTAGTATCTGAATATTTGTATGTCTGTGGGTGTGCACGTGTGTGTATGTATAACTTATACCCGTATACACATACATATTTCAGCACATACCTTTAGGCTGAGAAGGACATGGGTGAGTGGATGTCATGTGGGGATATCAGAATGATCACTGCCAATATTTGTTTAGCTTTTATTACGTGCCAGGCACTGTTGAAAGTGCTCCATCTGTATTATGTAATCCTTATAACAGCCTTATTATCCCTACTTTCGAGATGAGGAAACTGAGACCCAGAGTAACTTTGCCAGAGGTCACCCAGTTGAGCATATTATGCCAAAACCTCCTTGTGGGGCACTTGGCTCTGCATGTGCATTTATGATGCTCCTACCAGGCGAGATGTAACTCATTCTTATTTAGAAGAGAGTTCAGCAATTCATTGTAGAACTTTACACCAGAAACTTCCTGCAAGTCCATTTATTGTCTCATTTTCTCTTGCTAGTAAAACTGCAGAAAATGTTATGCTTTAGTTCTTCGCTGCCGGAGTAAGTAGTGTAGAGAGCCTCCATCAAGTCACAGTTGGAAAGTAATCTAATAAAAGAAGATTAGTGAACCTAGAGGAGACCAAAGCAGTCATGTTTGAGTTTAATATCTCAAATTGAGCATTTTAGCTAAGATGCCCGTTTGTATTTCTTGCAGGTCTGCTAAAAGGTCAGAGGAATGCAGAATGCGTGCCTTCATCTCAGATTTTGTTCATCACAGGCGAATCCCACGCGTCTTCAGTAGACAAGTCACCTTTGTAGCTAGAGCCCCAGTGCCGGCGCCATGCATTGCACCTTCTTTAGTCTTGATTGCCCTTCCCGCATTTATTGGTGTATTAAAATGACTGAATATGAACATTAAGGACTCCATGAACCTGGGCTAATGGGAGACTGTAGAGAAAATGAAAAAAGATCCACCGGAGGACATCTTGGGGGGGGGGGAGGGAGCTTGGGAGGAGGGAAATGACTAATGAAGCTAATTAAAAGCATTCAAATCTGCTTTCTACCCTCATTAACAATTAGCAGGGCACTGGCCAGAGTTTGTACCCTGTGTTTTACCTTAACAACATTCTATTTGCTCTTTGTATATTTAAGTGTTGTAAGGAAATGTGTTTCAATCAAAACTGAACATGAGATAAAGGAAAGAGATGTGGCTTTTGTGATATTCTATCACAAACACTTTTATTGTATCTCTGTAAAATACAATGTATGTATGCATGTAAGTGTTTTCGTCCTAATGTTGCTACTTCCATGGCAAAGGAAAAAAAGAACGAAAAGAAAAAATTGGAAAAAAAAATCAGGCTCATAGCAGCTACTGTGTAGAAATTTCCCCCTACTTCTAATTTGCTGAATGAAGAAGAAAAATCTTTTATTTGTGATATTTTCAGAGACATTTGCTCTAGTATGGTGTATTTAAATAATAAAAACTTAAAAATATTCGATGGAGTTTGGATTTAAACACTGCTTTTTCTCTTCTGTATTTTGGAAAATTTATAAGTTTTTTTGTTTGATACCAACTTCGTCGAGGGAGGTGTTGCGTATATTTATTTAGCTCTGGGCCAATAAGGTTTTCTTCGAGTTACTTAACCATGCCGTTTTTGGCAGGGCTACAAAACGGAGTCCTTTTTATAAGTTCAGAATATTCTGGTAACTTATGCACTTCATTACACTCCTATATCACAGTGAATCTTTTGTGTTTATATATAAATATTTGTTCGATTCTTCAGCTATTCTGTTGATTCTTTCTTCCTCAATAGGAAAGCCTTGGGTATTGATGAAAAGCATGCTAAAGACTGTGACCTCACCCTCTTGTTCTCTTCACCAAGCTTCTGGCTTCTGAAGGAAATAGCATTTCTAAACCATACCTGTACATATTGTGAAGTTTCTTGAGTCGTTAGGGACCCAGAGCTCTTGTACAGACGTCTTCAATGGGTGAAGCAGCCATTTCCTGGTGAGCTTTTAGACTCCTGTGGTCTGCTGTGTGATTTGTTTATTTGGTTTTGCTCTTACACTCCTCTGTCGGCTCTGCCTTTCCATATGTGTGGGGTAGGATTTGGATTTCACTTAGTAGTCATCTTGAGATAGGCAGTGGCTAGTTCTGGGCTGCAGCGTGTCCCCAATAGCGCCTGCATTGCGTGCAGAGGTGCCCTGTGGAAAGCATGTGCGGGCCAAGGACTCGGGGCAGGGGGGTGGGGGGGCGCCTGGCCAGCGTTAGAAGGAGGAAAAAGCCAAAGAGGCTGCGCTACTAGGCTTGGGAGCAAATCTCAATTACAACTTCGATCACAGGTTCCTAAAATCAGGTGTGTGTATAATGCTACTTTAAATATCCTTTCTAAAAATGGCATTTGTTTTCTTTTCTCTTGTTCCAGAAAAGCTCCCAACGTAGACCTCTCAGAACAGGTTATATAGAGGGAAATAGCTCGGTACATCTCAGCTAGCAGTCAGCTTCCGTTTGGGATTTTCTGCTTTCAAAGACTGTCACAGTCCGGGAAGAAAAAATCAGTTGCTCAAAACTATGAACCTCCTGTAGGAGAATTGAAAGGTAGAGAGTTAAAGTGAATAGTACTATTAGAGCTTTATGGAAAGAAAATGCAAGAAAAAGAAATGAACAAAATCACAGACCTAACAGTATCTGTTTGAGTTAAATCCTTGGGGAATTTCTAGGAACCAGTTCTGGTTCTTACATTTTTTTTTTTTTTCTTTCCCTTTAAGATACTTTAAAGGAATGTGGACTCTTCAGGACAGAAAGGGAGAGATATGTTAATAAGAATGCAAGCATCCTCTCTATTCTTTTTGGCATAAGCACTCATGTCCCATCTAGTGCAGAAATTCAAAGGGGATAGTTAATAACTTTTAGTAAGTAATACAGTGTGGCGTTTGGCGATGTGGAGGGCTCAGGTCATTAAAGACTTTAAATGAACTATTATATGGCTGGCTCCTCAAGCGCTGCTGCATATTTAATAACGAGCTTCTAAAAGCATTTCTTAAGTTGCAGACCTATAAGATTACAAATGTCACTCATGTTAGTATAATCCACATGCAAGTGATGAAGCCTTCTCTTTGATGTGCTAAATTGGAGAAGGACTAATGGAGCTATGAATATACAATAGAACATATTTAAGTAGTAGTCTTGCTTTAGGTAAAACACTTTCTTGAAACCAGAGGCATTTCAAACAATAAAATCCGGCTCTAATGGGGATGCTCTGTGTGGATAGAGAGCTCCTAAAAACACTCAGGTTTATTCTGATGTGAGCAGTGATTGTGTTCCTCCCCCAACCCCAACGTGGCTTAGGAAAAAAAAAAAATCCAGCAGCTTGTTCACCTCTCATCCACTGCATTTGTGATGTTAGTGAGATGTACTCCATTCTTTTGAAAGGACTTATTTAATATTAACCACATCATAGAGCAAGATGGCCCCCAATCCCTACAAGCAAGTGCAATTAAATAAAAGCAAATGTTACTGAGCCCTGCTGAACTCTTGATTTAAAAAAAGTTTGAGAACATATAAATGTCTCAATCATGCAAATTGTCACTCTTGCTAATGAAACAATTTTGTAAAAAGATTGTCCTCTGAAAGGGTTTAATGTTTTTTTGTTTTTGTTTTTGTTTTTTACCTGTCTACTTAGATTTACACATCCTGAAAGGCAGGAGAGCCCGGAAGAAGCTTTTCCAAACCAAATCGTTTGCCACAAGAAACTATTTCCAGCTCTTCATGATTTATTAGGAAATAGTTTAACACAGACCGTAGTGTCTTATAAAATGCAAAATGAGAAAATAGTCACACCAAAATGAAGCCTGTGAAATTGTCATCCTCTTACTATTAACTATTTAAATTCTTTCTTTTGCTATTACTAACACTGATATTTGAAACAATCATCTAAAATGAAGCTCTTAAATGGCTTTAAGTGTCAATATAGTAAGATTCTAATTTGTACTACTATTTATATAAAATATTTCTTAGGACCAATAAATTATACAACAGTGAGTCCAAGAGCTATATATCAAGGCACCAGGGAAGAGTTTCCCTGTGGCGTAAATAATTGTACTTAAATTGAGAAGAGGTTGTCCAGAGACTCCTTCACCAGGGCATTCTATCCTGGGAGCTCCTGCACCTAAGACTTGGAGACACATTTACAAGTTGATGTCACTTGTCACTTTGTTACTAAGACTCACCTATTGTCAGTCCAGCCAAGTCACAGAAATGCTTATTGCAGTTAAATAGCGATTTGTTTCCATGAAACTGCAATTAAAGTATTAGTGAGCAGCCATTTTAGATTGGCAATGCCCTGAGCGCATGTTAAACAGCCAGCAAGTCCCACTTGCAGAGCCTGAGACCCGACTAGCAGGAAAGTGTAACCCATTCACTGGCCTTGGGTATCTAGTTAAGAGGCATTTGTAGCCCTCTGCTCACATCGTGAACACGCTGAGAGCAATGACAAGTCAGGGCCGATTTTTGGAAGGTGAACTTGCAACTTACCTCAAGTGAATACAATTTTCAGTTGTACAAGAAGTGCTTTATGCTAGTAGATATGTGCCTGTTTCCTAGAGGGAATGTTTTCGAGTTCAGATTGATTCTGCTGAGAATGGACTGCAACTCGGAGGCCTCAGGCCAATAATGTACTGCAGGTCCTGACATGTTACAGCTGTGTAAACAGGGCCATTCTATCTCCTAAATCACAACTAATAAAGCAGAGGATGAAAATCAATTGATTCTGTTATAAGTTCTTTGAATGACACTAGAAAGTTGTTTAATGACTCTGTTAGAATGGACAAGCCTGGGTTTAGCCACCAAAAATAACCTCTTTTAATCCTCTCGCTTCCCTCAGAAACAGGGCAGGATAGCCTTTCCCCGCGCTAGCATCCCCACCACCACATCCAAACCTGCTGGGGGAAGGAAAGCATCAGAACTGAGCTCCTCCAGCTGATCTAAACTTCAGGATTTGTTGAGTGAGAAAGGTGAAGTGCAAAGGTTTTACTGAAAATGCGAAACATTGATGTAAGATCCTGAGAGAGAAAAGGATTTTAGAGGTGCTGTTTTAAAATGCAATTAGCACTGAATTCTAACTAGCGTGGAAACAATCATTAGCTCAAGAGAACAGGATGCATCTCACCTTCCTTCGGCCTAGAAAGTCCTCCCCTACCTTGAATCAAAAGGTTTACGTCCTCAACTTTTTCAAAAATAATTTCCTTGGGCAGTGCATTTATTTGTAGGCTTTCGCCTGTGTTTGAGCTGCGATTTTTTTTTTTTTTTTAGTAAGAGGAAAACAGTTTCTTCCTAAATTAATTTTTCATTTGCAGTGTATTGAGTGCTTTTAGGAACTGAAAAGAGAAAATCTGGAGACAAACTGAATTTACAAATGAAGATTAATTATGAAAGCTGGAAAGGAAATTGCTTGCTTGGGCTGCAATTGTATACCTTTTTCTTTATTTAAATAAGGTTAGGTAGAGATGGGTGTGTCTTAAGAACCTCAGATCCGTCTAAGGCCTTGATTCAGTTTCTGTCATCAATCATGGGCCTTCCGCCTTCCATAAACCTTAACATCTTTAACTAGAATGTGTAATATAGTAACTTTATCTTGGAGTTGTGGAGTGCTTTGTAAATGTATTTCTATGTTCACATTTACAGTGAACAAGTTCAAAACACGTGTTATCTCAGTCCTCACAATAACCCTCTTGATTATTATTGCCTCGGTTTTGAGGTCATGAAGGGTCAGGGAGGTGACGGTCTAAGCAGGACCAGGACGAGAGGGAGGCAGCAAATGGGTGCTCTCCTTGGGTGCAGAATTTAAGGGAGTGCCAAAGAATCAATAATCAAGATAATGTTTTAATGCAATATTTTTAAATAGGAAATGAATGCAAAAACATCTATGGTGAACAAAACATCACAATTTTAAATAAAGGCAGGATCGGAGTTACTTCTCTTGACTTTTGCCTCAGGCTCCAACATGGCTGGGCAAGAGTGCCAGAGCTGCTATTTGAACCCTGGCATTTGGGGCATTTTGGGAGAATTGCTTTATAAATTGTTAGGCTGTGACAATGACATACTTTATTCTATGAGCTATAACTAAGTTTTTTTCTCCCCTTAAAAAGCTAAAGTATTGCATTTTGTCTTTATCTAACCTGGAATACCGACTCCTTTAGCTTGCCTGCATATTTTAGCCTTGCTCTAAAAGAAATTTCTGTTCAGTTTTGACAAATCTCAACTACTTTGTGAATGAGTAATTAAGTATTGTTGGTAACAACTCTGCCTGTAAGTTGTTGTGGAGGAAAAAGAGCAAGACTTCAATAATCATGTTAGTCCAGAGAGTAAAATGGATGACTGTGTCTAACTATATCCCATACAAAGTAGTAAATGGTATGTTTCAGATGTTTGAATTGAACTGTCTTCAGTCTGCAGATCACTGTGGCAAATAACAGGTCAATGAATTCAGTTATATGAAAGTGGCATACTTCTGTAAG